TGTAGAGAGCACTTAAACCGTTTCTGTTTTTCGCCCATTTTCATTTTACAGAATTTTCATCGCGTTCAATTTTTTTCTTTATAGATTGGATACTTCTTAACGAAAAGAAAGGTGAGTGGACAAGGGCAAAAATAAATTCCCATCACCTGCTGCTTTTCTTCTGGGCCGGGGGCTTCTGCGCCTCTACCTAGTTTGCCCACGGGTCAGCTGTGCTATCCTAGGATGTGATTTGCTCATATGATACATCTATCAGAGTTTCTTCTTTTTTTCTTGGGGGTTGGGGGGGAGGATATAAAATGTTCACTTAAAATTTCTGACTTTACAAGTTTCTTTTGTGCCCATTATATCTGGCTAGTTCCCTTTTCCTTGGCATTATTTGGCAGATCTAAATTTTGTTAAGATTTGATCAGCAAATTTCAGTCAAAAATTTTATTTTTTGCCCATCTTAGTTTTATTTTGAGTTTGTTTTTTTTCCGATAAAATAACGAGGGGGGGCAATTTTTGCAATTTTCAGTCAGTAAATCATGAAATGTACTATGTCAAGGACAGTTTGCTTTGGGGTTGATTATTTATACCAGAAATACATATTATGAGTTGATAAAAGGCTAATTGTTTTGTGAAGCAAAGAGCATTAGTAAGAGAAACTTAAGAACTGGAGTAATTATCTTCAATAAGAAACATCTGTTACTTGTTCATAAGTTTCCAGGGTACATTCCCTCACTTTCTGGTAATATACAGTAAGAGATTATAAATTGTGTGCAACACTAGAACAAAATGTCCTGAGGGCAAATGGCAACAGCAAAACCTACTCAAAACTCCACGGCCCTGATCTTAAAATTTCTAGGTGTACATACGTGCTCGCTCTTCCTTCCTCCTTCCTTCTTTCCTTTCTCCTTCTGCCCCCTTCATCCATGTGTTTTTCTTTCTTGCAACTGGAAAAAAATTTTGAGCAGAATGGCTATGTTTTAATAAAAACAGCCCTGAACTGGGAGCCATGAAGTCTGGCCCCAATACTGACTAGCTATGCAACTTCGGGGAAGTCACTTAACCCTCTCTAGGACTCAATTTTCTATGTGCCAGGCACTGTCCTGAAATAAGGCAGAAGAGACCTCTACTTTCGTAGAGTTCATATTCTAATGGAGATGAGTTAAATATAATTTTAGGTAGTGATTACTGTGCTATATATAGAGTAAAACAGGACAATGTGATAAAGCCTGGGCATAGGGAGGACTTTAAATAAGGTGGTCATGTGTGGCCTCTCAAGAGGTGACATTGAGCTAAGACTTGAATGATAAAAAAGGAAAAAGCCGGGAAAGTGTATTTCAGGCAGAGTGGATAGCAGATGCTAAAGACCCTTAAGTAGTAATGAGCTTGATATTTTTTAAAAACAGGAATGGCCCTTATGGCTAAAACATGGTGAGCAAAGGAGAGAGAGAAAACGAAATTGTAGAGAAATTTATTCATTAGTGGCAAATTCAGCAATGCAGTTAAAATTCTGATTAAAATATCTGTAAGGTCAGAATTCTAGTCCTAAGAAGCACTGGCTCAAGGGAAGGATGAGCTCACAGGAAGCCTCAACCACCAGAGGACCTATTAGAATACCAGACAGCAGAGTGCAGGGGACCTGTAGAGCTTCAGCTGGCTTCAGAGGTCTTTTCGGTTGTTGATTTTTTAAGTTTAGCTTGTTTGAAAACAGAAGGCTCTGCATTGTCCCATCCAATAGCTATTAGCCACATGTAGCTATTTCCATTGAAATTAATTAGAATTAGATAACATTAAAAATTCAGCTCCTCAGTCATACAGCCACATTTCAAGTGCTTGATAGTCACGTATGGTTAGTGGCTACCATACTGAACAGCACAGATGTGGATCATTTCCATCACAGTAAGTTCAACTGGACAATGCTTTATTAGAAGGTTATTACTAGAAAGCCCTAGTCTATCTATAACCATCAATCCTTCAGTCTTCTAGAGGAATCTCAAAACTTCTCCCCAATTTTTTTAATCTAAAGAAGGACTAGACACTTCCATTTCAGGTATTAGAGACTAAAAACATGTCAGCTGAAAATACTTGAACATTCTGGATGCAAAATTTAAAACATCCTTTTGGTTACATTACAGCTCTCAAGAAAATAAAATTTTAAGAAACAAAAAATGCAGGAGCATAAATCTATAGAATGGTCAGTGATATTGAAGCTGAAATTCTAAGAGTGAATTCTGGTTTCCATAAATCTAGACCCTTGAGCTTTAAATGTGATATTGAAAACACAGGAGACAAGACCTGGGCTTGTGTCAGCTGAGGAATTGGAAGAAAGAACTTACAATAGAACCTAGATCTCTAGAGGTCTACCACCTCAATGAAAGGGCCAACTATTTAAAAAAAATAAAAGATGCCCCACTAAAGGAGACAAGATATTTAGGAAACTTATCTGCCTCCACATCTGGCTCTGGAGGGAAGAAAAAATATCCCCTGAAAATGTATAACCACAGGCCAATTTTCATGCAGGTTTAGAATTCAGATTCCTACTGCCTACATAATCCAGGAAATTCATACTGAAAAATCTATTTAAGCCAGTATTGTATTCTTTATAGACTTTTTATTCTATGCCAAACTGACTCCAAGAGAGAGAGATCTATAATTAAATAGATCTATAACTCCATAAGACATTGAATTGCAGTTTTAAATCTTCCCATAAAGAGAATGCTAGGCCCAGTAGATTTACAGATGAGTGTGCCAAACATTCAAGAAACAGTCTCAAACTCTTCAATGAATAAAAAAAAGGAACCACCCCCCAACTATTTTATAAAGCTAGTGTAACCTTGGTAACACGACCAGAGGAATACAAGAAAGGACAATTATGGGCTGATCCTATATATGAACATAGATGTAAATCCTAAAAAAAATGTTAGCAATCTGAATCCTGCAATTCATAACAAAAGTAATACATCATGGTCAAATCAAGTTTACCCCAGGAACGTAAGGCTGGCTTAACATTAGAAAATCTAATTTTATTCACTATATGAAGTGATTTAAAAGGGAGAAAAAAAACCCACATTATCTCAGTAGATGTGGAAATTCTAGATTAAATTTAAAACTCATTTAAGATAAGTAAAACTCTTAACTAGAAACAGCAAGACACTTAGAAGTTGTTAAAATATATGTACCAAACCAAAAACCTGCGACAAATATCACTTTTTTAAATTTGAATAAATTTTTTAAAAAAACAGGCAGTGGATCATATTTGGAAGATGGGTTATAGTTTTCAGATCTGATTTAACTCCTGGGTTTTCAGAGTATTTAATTTGCTATATATTATTACTCTTCAGATGGCTCATAGAGAGGTCACATTTTACAAAATTTCTTGGTTGTAGCCTCTTTTTTTTTTTTTACAGAGTATCTTGCTAAACTAATGTATACTTTTTCTCTTTTATTCTGGTTTAGAACTGAAGATAAATTTAAAGCTAATCCTACTTGATTCAAGATCCCTTCTCCTTTCCCCCCTGTTTTTAGAGGGAAAAAAGTCATCTGCCTAGATACTTGTATTTGCAAATTTATAATGCTTTTGATATGTGCATTAGGTAAAGTACTGCCATGTGTTATAAAAAATAAACTCCTGATATCCATAGCTTAACTCAATAAGAGTCTAAATCTCACTCACTGGTATGGTGCAAACCACATTAGAGCGAATAATGCCCTGTTTACACTATTAAAAAAAGACATAGCCACCAGTGACTAGTAGGCATTGATGAGGGCTCTACATAGTCATTCAGATATCCAGTATTTCCCACAGACAACACAGGTCATCTAAGTTAACTCAGCCAAACGATGGGAAAAGAGTATCATGAGGGAGGTTGTAGAGGCCAAGCCTAAAAGTAATATATCACATTTAATGGTGAAATGTTTGACATATTCCGTTTGAAATTATTGAATGAGACAAAGATGGCTGCTGCTGTCACTTTCAGCATGTTGCAGTTCCAGGCAGCACAGAAAGACAAGAAACTAAAGGTTTTGTTTTGCATATTATATGATTGTCATATAGAAACTCAACAAATATCTATGGTCTTATAAGATAAATAATTCCAAGAGTTGCTTAATAATAGATCAGTATACAAAATAAATTGCAATCCTTACTATTACTGAATAGATTAAATAAAATTTAAAAATAACTTTTACAGTAGCAACAGAAAATATGAAGTACCAAGGAATAAATCTAATAAAAGATGTGATTGACCCACATTGAAAAGATTATAAGGCTTTATTGAAATACATTTAAAGACATCAATAAATGAACACATACCATTTTTATGAAGAGAAAGATTCAATATCATAAAAACATCTATTCTTCCCAAATGAATCAATTCAATTTAAGTCCAATTGAGAAAAAAACAAAAACAAAACAGGCATTTTCCTGGAACCTGAATAAACAATTTCTATGAAAGAGTAAAGGAAGAAGGAAAGTCAAAGTGATTTTGATGAATAAGAGTGGGAAGGACTGACCTATGTTATCAAGGCTTATTAAAAACCATAGTCATTGTGCCCTGATACAGGGATACACACACAAAAATGAAGGAGACTGGAGAAGCCAGATGAGACCCCTCGCATATGACAAGCAGTAACATCACAGTCAGTGAAGGAAAGGATGGACTGGTCAGCAAATAATGGCTGTGCAAACAGAAAAAAAAAATTGGATCTCTGACTTATAAGCCAAGAGCAACGGTAACAAAAACAAACCCAAACAAAACATCCAGGTGGATTAAAGACCTCCGTGTGAAATACTTCCAGAAGAAAATATGGGATTAAGGAAGGGTTTCCTAAATAAGACAAAAAAAACATAGACTGTAAAGTATAGGTAAAAGTTTTTATATTAAAAAAAAAATAAAACTTGTATTCTTTAAAAGATACTGTTATATTGTCATATTTTTTAAAACTTCTAATAATTTAAACACAAGTATGGAGGAATGAAATGTCAGATTTGCTTCAAA